TATTTTAAATTTATGGGAAAACGCAATCAAAGTTTGATGAGTTCATACAATTTGTATAGCAAAATCCAGATGGAAAGACACATATCTTCACCTATTTTGGGTAGTTTAGTCATGGGCTAAGCTTAGTACGTTCTCCTTATCAATTCTATTAAAGTTATGTTGAAATTTCCAAAAACGTAAACGTGGTGCAATAATTTTTTATTTTTTTTTTTTAATAAAACCTAAATTTGGCTCACCCTGTATCGCCATTGCACCTGCGTTATTTGCCTTTCGTTTTCCCTTGCTAATACCTCAAAATCTCATTCTTCTCAGCTATCACGACAGTTATTTGTTTAGCTTCGGTTAGTCGCTCGGTCGGTCAGTCGTTCAGGCCATTTGGCTGGTGGGCCGTTGCCGTTGCATCCAACTCGCCAATCTGCTAAAACCAACCCAACAGCCATTCAACCCAATCCATCATACCCAAATGTCCGCCGTGCATCACACCCAGTCGCACTAGCTGAACAAATTCGTTCACTATTCGCGGGTCAAACGGTCGTAGCTTCGCGTCGTATGCGCCTCTGCCTGTTCGTTGTAAAAGTTTTTAGTGTGCAATTTACAGTTCAACATTAAAAAAAAGTTGTAAAACAATTAAAGTAAAAAATGACAAAAAACTTAATTGCAATGTAGAAAACTTATGCAATAAAATACTGGTGAAAAGACACTTTTTAGCGATAATTGCAACAGCGTATAAAAAAAAGGTGGATAGACGACCTAAAGGTGCAAGAAGTGAAAACGTTTTGTATGTACACATACCACTATGCGCATATATAAAATATTTTCGAGTTTCACGTCAATTCAATTGTCAACGAGAATAGCACTTACTAAAGGCGAGTACGTACCACCAACATTGAAGTGTAAGAAAAGTTGCTCTTCCGTTGAATAATTAACGCGGATAAAGTAAGGCAAGTGAAAAAAAAAATCGAAATATTTACGTACAACTTAAACTGAGAAAGTAGAATATTTAGTTGTGCGTATGTATGTATGTATAAATTTTGTATATTTTGTATTTGCGCAAATCTCTAAAGTAAATATTTATGTTTTGGTTGCTGCAAGGTGTGTACGAATGGGACTTATGTTTGTATGTATTTTTATACAGTGGAAACAAAGGAAATTGCAGCTTACAAAACTATCAAAATAATTAATAAATGTAGACTTTGGGTTCTGTTGTACTTTGCATTAAGTATTTAGATTATATTTGATATCCTAGTTACCGCGACCGAGAAATGATCTATTGTAACAAATCCCCATTTGGCTACAGGCCTTCTTTGATCAACGCATTACTAAGGAACCTCGGGAGGTACATAGTTTGGCTGAATGCCATTTACGTCGTGTGCTTCTAGTTACTGTGATCCTAGGTAGCGAAGTCTGGTTCTAATGAGGGCTTTACAGTGGCACATAATATGCTCTGCTGTTTTCTGTTCTTCGTGGCACAACCTACACTGATCAGAGTTAAAAATTTTGTTTAAAAAGTGTTTCGGCCCTCCTTCTCGATATTTTCGGAATGAAGAACTTAGCCTGTCCGTTAGCTTCCATATTTTGTCCAGCAATTTTGCGCTTAATTCTTCATCCAGATAAATTACGGGTAATTTCGCCTAACAAAGTTCCATGGTAGATCAATAAAGCGTAAATAATATCTGTCACTTCATTGCTTCATTGCAGTGGAGTCATACTGTGTCCCACTTTGTGGTGACCTTGTGCGCCTTAAGAGCGAAAAGCGCCGCTCTGCTGCCCGAGTGTATGTAGATGTGTTTGCTGGTTGCCTCACTTTCTACTTACCCTGCAAAAAATGGGACTAATCCGGGATGACTCCGGGAGCAATCGCAAAGGAGCATGCGACTAATACCACTTTTGATCTCTTTATATGGAATGAACTGTTCGCTTTTGATCGAGCATGTCCTATGAAGAGACTAATTGTTCACCTTTATACCCGAACGGGCATAAAAAGCGACTAGTCACTTTTAAAAAATAAAAATAAAAATTTGCGCCAGCTGAGATTCGAACCGGGTTGCTCAGTTTGGTTAGGCAAATACTCTCTCTGTGTGCCAACGCCACACATGAAATTTCATTGACTAAGTGCGTAAACATCATTAAATCGTTAATAGTACCCGTTAGAGATGAGTTGGGGACTAATTGATCTCCAATTATTCCCATAAGGGATGAGTCGAGACTAATTGATGTCCATTAGTACCCGTATGAGACTAGTTGCGACTAATAAATGCCGAATCGTACCCGATTGAGAGTTATCTCGGACTACTCTCTTTAGAGATTAGTCGCACAATTTTTTGCAGGGTACTGCCTTGGGCACTGTTCAGTGACATGCACTTCTTCCTAAAAAACAGAACTACCTCGCCCGTTACTGGTGAAAAGGAGCCTTCTGGGTTGTGTGCCGTACACTCCAGCGCCGATGCCGTAGTCATTGTTGGATCGAAGAATCCTAGCTTTTTCACAAGACGAAAGAATTTCCCGTTCATTGATTATATGTATCTAGGGGCACAACATTTAGAGCAGCATTAAGTGTCAGAGTAGGAGTGTGGTTGGAAGTACCCCACTTTTTCCAATTAAGGCAGCTCGTTGCACTCTTCCCAGCTGTTGGACGAAGAAAACCGTGTCTGGTGCGTTCCACCAGATGTGTTTCCAAGAAATCTTGCTGTCTAGAATGAAGCCCAAGTACTATTTCACCCTGTCTGAGAGCCCTAGAGGTGGACCGCCCCCTCTCTCTTATTACTTTCATTATACTTTTTTTTTGTTAGCGGCAAATCTTACAATAAATTTTTGACCAGCTTCCCCATGACCTAGAGACTTGAAACTTCACAGTTGGCACAGAACCCGATGACAATGCAATTCGAAAGATCAGTTAAGCCGATAGGTGGCGCACGAGTCGATATATTTGGTAAACCAGTATTTATGGTTCGATTTCGTTCACATTTAGAAAACTTGCTTTAAAAATATTTGTTTTACAATCAACTTATTTTTCAAGTAATTTTGGCTCTGTGTACGCATGCTTAACTCTTCACGAATTTCGACTAAATTTCCTGGCCTCTACTCGCCCGTATAAATGGTTAAAAACATTGCTCTAGTGAATTTTTCACAATTTTTCGTTTCCTTTTTGTCTCAATAATCCAGCGCCTCTTTCCTGACAACTGGAGCTTGCATTCAATGTTGTTGTGAATTGTTTGCCGTTGGCTGTTTCTAAAAACAAAGCGCCTCAGCTAAAATAGGCGCACTTCAAACGCTTTTTTCGGCATGCATTTCATAATTCTTTCAGCTTTTTTTTCACTCTTTACAACTCAAGTACCATTGTCATCTTCTATCTGGCATATGTTAGAATATATAAACAATAAACGCTTGAGCGAAAATCAATAGAAGCTGATGCCTTGTAAGTGGTGTTTTGTTTTTTGTGTGTTTATGTAGTTCAGCGACGAGGCAAAGCGCCAATAACAACTCATCCTTCTTCTGAAGCGTGCGTTTATTTTTATAGGACACACAATATTTTTTATTTGTTTTTAATGTTTTTTTTATTTGTTTTTTTATGTTTTTATTTTTTTTTTATTTGTTTTTGTTTTTTTTTTAGTGCGCCTAACAAGACAGTTCGCTGCACAGTCTCTTTTGTTTGCAATAAAACTTTTTGCTATCACTCATACACTTTCTTTCAATTATGTTTTTTTTTTTTCATAAAATTGTGTCAAAACTAATTTACAAGGATTGTCTCATCGATTGCGTTGGTGTTGTTGACGTGGCGTAGCGCGGTGTGTAGGTACGGTGGGGCGCGTTGCCTGATTCAGTAGTTCCAGCCCACACACTTGCATTATTTAGCACGTCCCGCCTAGTCATTAAAAAGTGCTCAAATTACACATAGATTTTTTACTTTTTTTTTTGTTAAGTATCGTTTTTGATTTGAGTTCGCTGGTGGGTGGGTGCGAAAGCGAAGGAGTGCCGCACCAATTGGCGGCAAAGTTTACGAGGCGTTGTGTTGAATGTGAAGTAAACTAAATTGTTATTGCCTTTTTTGGTTATTTTTAAATAAAAGTATTTTAATTATGATTTTTTCATGGAGAGCATTATCAGATAATGTTTTGCAATAAAAATTATATAATCAAATTGAAATAGATTGAAATTCTTTAGAAACTTTTATTAAAATATATCTCTTCTTTGCCGTTTCAGGTCGAAGCTGGTGATATTATTTTAAAAGTAAATGGCACTGATGTTCATCGATACACAACGAAAGAGGGTAAGTCTGCTATACGGCTTTTTTCTTTGAAATATTGATGGGTCCATAATTAATTGATTGCATTCAAATAAGTTTTATTTCATTGCTTTTTTGAGATTTTTTTCACTTAAAAACATTCATTTTCTCACTAGTTTTGGGGTTCGACTGATATTTTAATAAATATTTTCTCAGGCAACCTTACAGAACATTGATGTTCATTTAGCGAATTTTAGTAGTAGACACTTTGTGGCCCTTGGTCGCTTGCCGATTGTATGCCCTGTGGCTGAACTTTACCAAGTACTTAGTGCAAGTATTTGCCCGCCGAAAACTGGACACTCACAAACTTTGTGCTCCAATTTTTCCCGCGATATTTGTACACGTTTTGTGTCCCACTAAACTTCGGGGATGAGCTTAACTTTTCTCTTGAGGAATACGCCTCAATATTCCAAGCCGAGGTATTTGCGATCCTCATGCCCTTGTTGGGAAATATAACGAACTTGTTTTACTCTGAGTGTCAGATCACTCGGGAGTACCTGGTTATGGGGCATCCGACCATTTGGCCAGAAATGATTCAGACCAGGCATTCCTCGGTCGCCAACCTGTTATAACAATTAAAATGAATATGAAAACAGTACAATGGACGAAATTTAGACTGATTGCTGTTTTCCTCACGCGTTGTTTTGCGTATTTAGTTCCGACCAAAAAAAAAACGTGCACTAATATCTACCCCTTAGAACAGTATTGGTCTAACAATTACCGGGAATATCCGAATTACTTTGTGCTCGGCTTTGGTTGCAAAGTGTTCTCGCCTAATTTAGGTCTGTTCCACACTGGAAGTGAGAAGTGCCAAGTCAGTACCACTTCCGTAGCATAGTTCGTTAGGGTTCGCCAGAGCTGAGGCTCATCAGACTTTGTCGCTAGTAATGACTGAAACGTAGTCCACATAAGCTGTTATAATAGCTCCTCCTTCTTCGATTTTCATCAATAGTTTGGTAACCGCGAGCGTCCATAGAAAGGGTCATAACAGTCGTCCTTATTGTGTACCTCTATGCTCGTTTCGCATGACCTCATTCAAGCCATCTTGAGCCGAGATCTTCCTATAGCCTCTTTTGAGCGGCATCCACTACTCAATCGAGGAAGAAGACGGCTAATATAATTCCCCCAGCGTTTATCTGTGTTGGTTATAAATGGCGAGACGCGAAGGCCTGGCACCTTTGATTCTTCGGGCAACTACGGAAATAAGTATAAAATGTGAATTCTTATCTCACTGCGCGAACTCCCTTCGGGCAGTTACCCATCAGAACCGCAAAAAACGCGACATTGACACCATAAGGTTCACCTTTTACCGCCCCGAACAACCCTGGGTCGGAAGTCCAAGAGTGAACCACGGGTAGGCCGCGGCTCCTGGTAATATTATTTTAAGGATACCCCTTTAATGTCAATTCGTTAGCCATGGATTTTAGTTAAGTTTTTTACATCTCTTATTGAGGTCGTACTCTTGAGAAGTACTCATATGTATGTATGTATTTCTTCAGCATCTTTAATGGCTCCCACTTTCGCCTGAAAAACGCTGCAACAGTCTTGCAAGCCTAAGCCTATGGTGTCATAGTCTTTACTTTACTTTAGACGAGAGGCCTCATCTCTTGCCAATAGCTCCCGCCAATGTTAAGCTTGGAGGACAGATTTAGTCACCAAGCTTAGGTAACCTTGGGTCAGGCTATATAGCATACCCGTGTAGGTAACCTCTCGACAGCTTCTCTTCTCCAGTTCCCCTAGTTACATAGTAGCTAACGACCAAGATCCAGAGGCGCTGTTCACTCTGCGCTACAAGCAGTTGCCGCCGCACTCAGCTGCGGTTTTCGGACCTTCCATTATTATAAGAATCTAAACTTTACATATACGATCCTAAGGAATCCCATTGCTTATGTAAATTTGTGCAATTCAATCTTCAAACATCGTCTTCAGCGGAAGCGAAGACAGACTGATTGAACCGAAGTGCCAAGGTATAATACGAGAGCACTATCCGGCTTTCAGGATAAACTCATCCCTCCCGATTCTTCAAGTTCTGCGGACACATCCACTCTTAATGCAGTTGGCACATCCATAGTCTTTGCACTTGTGTAGATAAGATGACGTCCAGTCCTACAGACTTTAACTGCTGCGTACACAGCGGTACCTTGTCAAATGTAATTGGAGTATCCTCATTCTCTTGGAATGTCAGCAACGTCCTCCATGCAGGAGATTGACATTTCTGTGCTGGCTGCCAAGAGTAAGAAGAAATCGAGTGCGTCGAACACTGTTCGTGATTGATGGGCCGTAGGCAAAGTTACCTTCGTAAACACCTTTTCGGCAGATCTTCAGACTAAAGTTCGTCGAAAATCTGCGAACTTCAACTCTGTGTGAAAGAAACTGACTGGTTCTAGACGTCGACATCGAGCTGAAATGACATCACAAACTGCCTTTTGTACCTAAGTTTGTTTTATTTATTTTTTAATAAAAATTTTTAACTCACATAATTCCTTCAATGCGTTTTTCAAGATTTTTTTTTTGGTTTTGGCTGGGATTTTTTTGTTTTATTTCATCTAGTTGATTTCTAGTAAAAATAAGACTTGTTTGTCTCTTTTTTATTCCTTAAATTTTATCTTCAAATCTTTTGTTGAATTTTTTATATATTGTTTTAATTTTATATTTTATGTTTATAGTTTATTTTATATTTCTCGTTTTTCCGATATTTTTAATTTATTTTTTTTTTGGTTTTTTATGTATTTTATTTTCGTCTATTAATTTGTTGTTTTCATTTTATAATTTGCTTATATTTTTACATTTTGGTTTATTTTTGTAGTTTTTTAATTATTTTTAATTATGATTTTTTATTTGTTTTTACTTGTTATTTTTTAATAATGTCATTATTATATTATTATTTTTTATTTATTTTTATTTATCTGTTGTTTTGATTCTATTTTGTTTATATTTGCATTTTTTAATTTAAATTTTTATTTTTTT